GGCTGACAAGCGCTGAAGAACTTGAGCGCCATTTGGTGATGCACCTTCCAAGTTTGGCAGGCGTTCCATGTGCACAGGAGTGCAACCATCCCAGACCAACGCTGCATTAGAGCTCGGGGCTCAGGGTCGTGGGCTCAGGGTCGTGGGCTTATAAGCCTCCTCCAAATCGCGCGACACGCATGGAACTTGAACTGCACAGCGAGACAGGTGATTCCTCTTTTGCCCAGGCTGCGCGACTGCGACTGGGGGCCGTAACTGGCTCCCACATGTTCAAAAATGGGGCTGCGGAGGGTTTGGGGTGCATTTGGGGGTCGGTTTCGGTGGCTCTGAGCGGGGTTCCACTTGTTTTCGTAACTTTAGGATGTACTGGCTTGGGCCATCAGGAGTTGAGCCTGAGTTTAGTGGATTTCGAGTTTCGGGCTTTCGGGAGTCCGGGGCATGTGGGTCTAAACGCTAAAACCTGCCCCCGCCAAAGAAGGACTAAACTTTAACCCAAAGCCCCAAGCCCTAAACCCTAAACCCTAAACCCGAACCCTAAACCCTAACCCAGACCCTAAACCCTAACATCAAGGCGCAAGGAGGAGCCAGGGTTTCACCGTTCAGTGCCTCAGAACAAGAATCTTGGACCGAAGGTGTCTAGGGTTGAGGTTTGTCTAGGGCTTCAGGGTTACAGTTTGAGGTTTTGGGGTCGGAGTTTAGGATTTAGGGTATTCATATAGGGCTTGGGGCTTGAAGAGGTCTGGGGCTTAGGGTCAGGAGTTCAGTGCTTGTCATCCACGGATCAATCGATCACCGGGCACAACGCCAAGAAGAAACGACACCCACCAGACACATATTCCGTGATGGATGGCCTTGCTCTTGGAGCCCGAAAGCTTGTCGCTGCTTCAGCTGTGGGCATGAGAAATAATCATACCAAATCTGCGAGGCACAGGGCTGAGAGCCCTGCATCAAAATGCCCCTCGCCGGGGTCCTCATCGAATCGGGTAAACACATCCACGGGCACGGCCCCAGTGCCCGCACAGGAGCCGCCGCAACCCGCAACCCTTCAAAAACCTCCAATCCAACATTCAGATCGGAACGTCAGAGCCTTCACACGCAGACCTTGAACTGCCGTATGTTTCACCTCTGCTAAAGGTCCTAACCCTAAACCAAAAACCTCAACCCTGTAAACGCCCTACATCCTACGTCATAAGCCCCAAGCCCCAAGCCCGAAGCCCTAAACCCCAAAACCTCTGGGAGAAAGATCTGGCCTTCAGCTGTTCACGCGGCAAAGTGCGGGATCTACTCCAGAATCCTCTGCATGCAAGGGCTCCCTTATGGCACTGACTGCATTGTTAAGGGGATTAGAAACAAACGTTTAACACTAATACTCCTGATAGTCTAACTTAGGGCCCTATGTAACTGCCCTACACCTCAATTGCTAACTGCCCAACCCAACACTCGCCGGCGAAACTTGTTTTAGGGTTTAGGGTTTAGGGCTTGCGGTTTAAGGTTACAGGGTTTGGGGGTTTCGGGCTTTAGGGTTTAGTGCGCCAACTTGAGCACCATTTTGTGATGCAGCTTCCAAAGTTTGGCAGGTATTGCATGTGAACAGGGAACGCAACCCTCCTGCACGGAGCTGCCCCTACATCCCTAGGCCCTCAACCCCCCCCCCCCCCCCCCGAACCCTAAGCTGCCCAAAGCACGTGCCACGGCAAGTAGCATCATCACAGAGCCCCCCACCCTTGTTCATCACCTGGGGCCGCATGACACCCGGGCTCTGGAGCCCGAACCCTCAAGGGCGTCATACTCGGACCCCTCAGCATGTACCCCTGAGAGCATCCCGGAATAAACTCCTGATACCGCCCCAATATGCCCTTAGGGGATCTGAAGGCAAAATGCAACACCATGGTGGCCTCAACTCTCGAACTCCACACCGGAAGTGCTCCGCCCTGCGTCGCGAGGGCTTACCGAGTAAAAGCTCCATCACCCTTGCAGGCTTTTTCAGGATTGCAGCACCCTAAACCCGAAACCATAAACCGAAAGTCAAACTCATGACTCGCTCCAAGTCTATTCGGCAAGTATCCACAAGGTCACAACGTTTTCTTGGGGAGTGTAGTCTCCTTGGGGCGACAAAAGCACGTATCCTTCCAAAGTCTCCTAGATCCTCAGGGTTTGGGGGTCAGTACAGTTCAGGTTCAGGGTTTAGGGTTTTGGGTTTCAGGCTTTTTTTCGGGCTTCGCATTTTGGGGGGTAGGGTCTAGGGGGGACATCGTACCTGGAGGCTCATGGGCAGTGGGCCTTTCGATGTCATTCGTAGGGATAGCTCTTCCACAAAGAGGGTTGTAACCAGGTACAATCTGCAACAATTGCCCGACTTCTGACCCTACTGTATGGCACCCCAAAAAAATCCCAGCATCTTCCGGCCCAAGGCGCCTTCTTGACACACTTTCTAAAAACTACGGCTCGCGCGGGATCACAAGGACGGACCATTTTTTTGGTCACCCCAACCCCAACAAACAAGGACACGCTTAATCGACATGTGACCGTTTATTTGAAGCCCTAAAACCCCTAGACCCCGAACCCTGCCTGCTGCGGCCGGGAGGAGTGCGGGGTGCTGAAGTGCTGAGCTTCGCCTGTTTTGGGCTTTGGTGTCTTTGGTTTAGAGTTGTAGAGCTTTTGGGTCTAGTGGTTGGGGCGTTTTAGGGTCTTGGGATTTTTTGGGTCTTGGGTTTTAGGGTTTAGGGGTCCATGGGGTTGCGTTGTTCTGGCTTTAGGGCTTACGGCTTAGCTTAGGGGTCAGGGCTTCGGGTTTCGGGTAATCGGATTCGAGACGCTACCAGCAGATCCTCAAATTCCTCACTAGGGCTCTCAGATGATTAGGGCTTAATCCGAAGCCTCAACTCCCGACAGCACTCTGAACCCTCAACCCTCACCCCACCCTCAGCCCTACATCCCATAAGCCGTACATCCTGTAAGCCCTGCCCGGAAATCTCAAGACATCTAAACACCCAAGCCGAACTCAGACCAACTGTTTTGATTGCTTCGGGCTTCGGGCTGGGAGTTGCGGGCTTGCTGTGGAGGAGTCAAATGTTAAGTCCTGGAGCTTAGGAACAGGATGGAGGCCTCTCGGTCTTGCACTCAAATTGACCTTGCGGGTGCCTGCAGGTGAAAGTTGAGGTGTTGGGCTTGAGGCGTCTTTGGCTGCCCTGGAATGCCGCACCTCGTGCCGAGAAGCTTGTTGGTCCACCCCCCGCTCTCACCTGCGTCAGGGCGGCTGGGCTCGTAAAGGCTCCAGCGAGAGTTGGGACTGGGGTGGGGAAAGGCGTGCCAGCATACGCAAGAACAATTTGTATGTATTCTCATGCACTCAGGCGCAGACAACTCCTGCGCAGGTGCTCACAACGTAGATACGGCTGCTCTTTTAAGCCATGTGCCGCGCCATGTGCGCAGAAAGCATTTGGGCGCAGGCAATCAATAGGCAAACTGCCCCCGCAATGCGGCCGCCATCGTCCAAGATAAAGCCCAACGATGGCCTCAGCGCCGATGTGGCACTTTGGATTTGGAGCGGCGCTGGTCGTAACACATCGAACAGCAACGCGGGAGCCGCCGAGTTGCAAGATCAGCATCCTGGCAGGCGCCGCAGAAACCATCCGCACTGAAGCAGAAGCTGTCTCGACCACGCGCAGCTAAACTTGTCCACTTGTCTGTGAAAGGTCTTGAGCAGAAGCTAAAGCCTAACCCCAAGCGAAACATGTCACAAACTGAGCCAAAGCAGCGGAGCAGACTCAAAAACTCTGTGGGCCCCTGCATAGGAAGACGGGGTTTCAGCTCAGTGATTCTGAGTTAAACCTGCAACTCGCGTGACACGCATGGAGGTTGAACTGCTCATGGAGGTTGAACTGCTCACCGAAACACGCGCTGCCTCTTTTGCTCAGAGCACCCTTCACTTTGATCGGATGCTTTCCTGCTGCTAGCCTGTCGGCTCGGTCGATGTTCAACACTTGGACTATGATTGTTGTCAGATGGTTAGCGAGAGTTGGAAGGATTGACAGGTCGGCAGCAGGCGAGTTGGTCAATATGGAGTTGAGCAGACTTCCAAACGATTGTGCGGCGGTGCCAGAAAATGGCTCATTGCTCATTTCGGAGTCCAATATGCTGCTTTTGAGGGCCCGCACGCAGGTCTGGAAGTTCGACCTCTCTCCGTTCTACGTCGCCTTTGGCGAGCAGAAAGACCAACAGGTCTTTGCACAAAAACTGAGAACTGACAACAGCACAACAGACTGTGGACGGCCGGCCTCGTCTCTGCGCTGCTGCACGCGCTGGCGGTACATCGCCTGTCGCCGTCGCAAGATTCGGTGGTTCGACGACTCTGGGTCGTGGATGGCTTCGCGGGGGTGGACGGTAAAAGTGCTCATGGTACCGCAGCTACGCCACTCAGTGAAAAAGACACTCCTTCACGCCTGGATGAACTCCGCCGCCTGGGTGCGCCGCCGCCAGAGGTGCATGGAAGACCTGCGCCTCCGGCGAGCCGCTTTGGTCCACTGCACATGCCTTTGCGAGATCTTCCGGGATGTTGAGTCTTTGGCTTGGGGAGCTTGCGTTCTGCATTGCTTGTTCTTCGGGGTGGGTGCTTGTCAACGCTTCTCTTCGGCGGGTTACCGAGGCACTTCTGCTGCTTGGTTTTGCGCAGTGGCTTGAGAATGCCCGCTTGGTTTTTTAGGGCGGTGACATGGTCCCTTAATATGGGTCCTGGAAAGGGCACCATTATAACCCTTGTATACCCTAGATTTTAAGCTTGGAGCCTAAAGGGCGTTCTCCTGCGGTCTGGCAGCGCTTGAGAGTGTCGTTGGGAAAATCCACTGGCTCAAGATGCTGCATAAACTCAAATTCCAAGCATCTGACTCCTCTCGGAGAAATCGGAATCCTATGGGCACTGAGTTCTGGGGACTAACAGGCCAGGCTTCCCCCCGCTTAAAAGTATACAACAATCCCAGAGGCCCTACATTTGGCTGAGGCACTCCATTGCAGCAGGAAGCTCGCGAACGGAGCCAAGGCCTTGGATCAGTCGGACTGAGGGGTTTAGTTTTGTTCTGTTCATGGGTATAGGGTTTAGGGTTTTGGGTTTTGGGGTTTAGGGGTTTAGGGGTTAGGGAGTGCCACGAAGACTAATTCCAGATCCTGTTGTTGAAGGGCGCGCCTCACACCTCATTCTGGGATCGACATCATCTACAGTGGGGCCAAGCGTGCACTTTAGTTTAATCTCGGCAAACTATCCCTTGCGCTCCAGACATCCCATGTGTCAACCAAAGGCACCAGTACAGGACAACAGCTACGCACCATCGAACACAGCACGGCGACGAAAGGAAAACCAAAGGTTGCTTGTGGTTTCGGCTTCCGTTATGTTTGACGGTGTTGGGGGCGTGGTCCGTTTTTTTCGAAGCCCAAAGAAGCGAGGACTCATCCGAAGCTGCTGAACCGATCATGAGGGTTTGGGGCTTACAGTTTCTGCTGTGTACGACTGACGTGCCTGCAGTGTCAGCATCCACCAAATCCTCACGCGAGGGCGGGGGCGGGGGGGGGGGGGTATGCCCGAAGTTGCCAAAGTGAAATTTCAAGCGGTGGCACATTTCATTCGGGGTTTGGTTAGGATGATGCAAGGGGGCTGGGAGCTCTCCAGACAAGATCCACGCAGATTAAGGTGCATGAGAGAGTGAGTAGGCGCATGGAAGGCCAGGTACAGTCTCACATGCACACGTATGCACATACCTCCGACGCGGAACTCGGCGGCTCAGACTTCCCTACACATGAAGAACCACAATCCAGATTGAGGGTTTTGTGGCAGCTCCTGCGGGCTGAATTTAGGAGTCGTAGAGTTTTGGGCTTACGGTTTAGGGGCGTATGGTAGGGATGGCATGCCTGCCTCGAGTCCCGCCGGTTGCAGAAGTTTGGCTGAGCCAGTGCTGAAACTCTACGCCCTGAGCCTAACCAAAAACACCGCCTTCCCAAGTGTCCCCCGAAGTTCCCTCCTCCGGCAGGAATCTGTCGCCCTTCTCGTCCGAGGAATTGCAAACGTCCCTTGAACGGGCAGGGTTGAGGAACTCTTGCCGAGGCATTGCAGGCTCAGGTCACGTATGTACATACATGCATGCATGTGTTACACATGAACATCCACACAAGTGTATAAGTACACAGGTATCTGCACAATATGCATATGCTTCTTTTGTGTGTTGCTCCGACGCGCATGCGCGTTCGGGCCCTATCACCCTTGGCTGAACCAACTGGCCCAACTCCCGACTTGGGTCCATGCCTAACACACCTGAAACACGGGACTGTCTACTGGCCACACTACTCCTGAAAGACAATATTTGGGGCGGTCAAGGTTGAGAGTTTATGGTTCAGGGTCTGCAAGTTCAGGGCTTTGGGGCTTAGGGGGGTTTAGAGGGTTTAGAGCTTCGTGGTTTAGGGCTTTCGGAACCTGAGATCGCTCAGATGGACGCCTTCCCTAAGCCCGACATCCGGCATTGCCATGACAGGCCTGGAGTCCAAGATCGTGGACTCGGCCATGGGTCCTGGTGTGGTCTTGGGCGGTTTAGGGTTCGGGGTTCGGGGTTTGGGGTTTAGGGTTTAGGGTTTAGGGTTTAGGGTTTAGGGTTTAGGGTTTAGAGTTTAGGGTTAGGGTTTAGGGTTTAGGGTTTAGGGTTTAGGGTTTAGGGTTTAGGGTTTAGGGTTTAGGGTTTAGGGTTTAGGGTTTAGGGTTTAGGGTTTAGGGTTTAGGGTTTAGGGTTTAGGGTTTAGGGTTTAGGGTTTAGGGTTTAGGGTTTAGGGTTTAGGGGCTTGCGTAGAGTAGCCACGTTTAGGGCTCAGGGTTACGTGGGGTGGAAATGGGGATTCTGAAAATTAGGGATCCCTTGTTGGCGGGTCCGCGTTGATGTTTGGAGGCTCCCATAAACCTACCGAAGTACAGCCCTACAAACAAACGCCGCAGAGTCGGACTGCACTGCAGCTGCAGTACTTTTTGGCTGAGTCTTCGTCGAGTCTTTCGGATTGTTTTCAATGAATCCATGATTATAGTGAAGTATTATGTTATTATATGCTGTGTTACTAGTATTCTGTATTTTTGACTTTACAATTGTACTACGCGTATACCTGTATACAAATTCTGTTGCTACATTGTTATGTTAGAACGTGATTGTATCAAATCTCCACGGTCTGCGATCTACAGCGCCAGAGCTTACGGCGATAGGATTGCAAGGAGCAGAGTTGCAGCACCACAAAGCCAGACCAAATCCTACAAACACCCTGAAAGCCTTAGAACATGTAGAAAAACCTATAAAGACCCAGAAACCCTAACAAGCCCTACAAACCCTTCAACAACATGGACTGGCTTCGTGGAGGTTGCCGGCCACAAGGCTTAAGATTGGGCTCTCGAATGAAAGGGCTCACGGTTTATAGGGTTTAGGGTTGTGGATTCAGGTTTAGACCCTAGGCCCAAAACCCAAACCTAGAACGCCCCGGAACTTGAAAGCCCTCAAGCCTCCGCATAATTCAGTTTGTGCCAGCTCTCGACTAAGCAAAGATCTGAAGGTTCAGGAAGTAGGCTGCAATACAAAAAGGAATCCAAGATACGATTTCAATCTCTCAGAACCCGCCCTTACACTCCAACCCCCCCTTCTCTACCCACTTCCCCCTGAAAGTCCTGCGATGATGCTAAGGGTGGCCTTCTTCAGCCAGCTCTGTGACCTGCGTTGGTGCCAGGATTTACATACAGGGACACAGGATGTTGCTGCTTACCTCAAAGCAGCGCGGGGTGCATAAAGGCCTATAAGGGTTGGGCCTTCGGGTTAGGTGTGGGCTTTAAAAGCCTTTCGGACAGACACCCTCAACCCTAAACCCGTTGGCTTAATGACAGACGCGGCTCAAGGTTAGTCTCGGGTTACGTGGATATTGCAGTGTTTAGATGCTTTTGTTGAAGTCATACGCCCCGAAGACCATGACAGACAAGGTTTGGGAGCTACTTCCAGCCAGAAACCCTCAACGCATAGACCCTAAGCCCATACACCCTAAACCTATAAAGCTCTAAACTTGGGATGTTCCCGCTTATACTAACACAGTCCTTAACAGGGACCATCATAGGGGTACTATAGTCCCTGTTAAGGACTTTTCCACAAACCACTCTCAACCCATAACCCTAAACCCTAAACCCTAAACCCTACACCCTTGAAGCCCCAGCGGCCCGAAGCGCTTCAGGTTCAAGAGCTGATGACCTGGGCTGCGGCTTTCTTTCTCTCTCCCCTGTTTTGGGGGGGTTTAGGGTTTCGGGTTTCGGGTTTCGGGTTTCGGGTTTAGGGTTTAGGGTTTAGGGTTTGGGGTTTAGGGAAGGCATAGGACGTAGGGGTTGAAGGCTTCAGTCCGTGCCCTCTTTCGTGCCAGCTGCCCCGAAAAAGTCCGAAGACGAGCTGTCGTCCAAACGACAACCCGTCCTTCATGCCCGTTCCCCCGAAGAAGTCTCAGAGCAAGTTGTCATCCAAGACGACAAACATGTCCTCTGCGCCTACCCCCCCCGAAAAACTAGAAGACAGACCTGCCCTCTGTCCTCGGCGCAGTTTGAGCCCGGTTCAGGCAAGCCCCCCAGCTCCGAAAGTTTGAGGGTGATACCTTTAAGGTTGTAGCCTTGGGACCCTTTATAAGGATTCCTCAGGTAATATAAGGGCCAAATTAGGAGTGTATTAACGAAAACCTTTAGGGGTACAACCTTAGCGGTACGAGTCTTAATCCCTTGAGGCCCTTGATAAAGATTGGACCTAGAAACTCTCAACCTACTTGTTAGCCATTGCGCATTGTGAAACCACGCGGCCCTGCAGCAATATGACGGCTGCTTGCAGCAATCTCTGCACCATCCAGGGGTATGCAAGCACCTTTGTCGACAGTTCGATTATCTGGGGCAGCTTTTATCCGAACGGATGCGGAGTCCTAGAAGCCTGACCCCTGTGTACCTTCAAATCGCACTATGGCAGAATGTATGCGGCCATGTTCGGGACTTCTAGACACGGGTTGGAGACGCAAAGGCTTCACTGGGATAATGTTCGGCTTTGGAGCATGGTGAGGCGTGCAATGCACAAGCGTGCAAGCTTTGGAAACTGGTCCGAAGAGCTTCCCAAGGCCCAAAGCCCTAAAGTCCTGAAACGGGTGCTCTCAGTGCCTGCTTGTAGATGAACTCGGAGTGGAGCTTGACCAGGCCAGAAATAACTTTTTTTGCGTCCTGGATGACCGAAGCCAGGGACCCCCAAAAAAGACCCCCCAAACAGAAGGATTCCCTTACAATTAATAAAGACCCCAAGAAGGTACCCCTAATGGCTGTTCGTGCCCGAGAACAAAAATCATGAGGTTGTACGAGGATGCCATCCGCCACTTTGTTGCTCCTGCGACCGAAAACAAAAACGTGAGGTTACACAAAATCAGGTTTTGGTTTTGGCTGTTCGTGCCCGAAAACTCCAGGGTGATTTTGATTTATTGGTTAACATGTTTTGGGATTCTCTGGGTGTGGGTGGGTGGGTGGGTGGGTGGGACAGAGATTGCTCGACCCGGAACTGCTGAACCCTAACCCTAAACCCTCCGAACTGAGGTTAGTCTGGGGCCGCATGAACACCTCGCGCGGCCACTGGTAGACGGCCAAATTGAAGGATTTAGGGTTTAGCGTTTTAGGGTTTAGGGTTTAGGGTTTAGGGTTTAGGGTTTAGGGTTTAGGGTTTGGCGTTTAGGGTCCTCTGGGCATGGCTGGACAATGACGCTCACGCTCACCGTTCCCTAGCGACAAACACGACTCCCGCCTAGCTTCCTTTTCCTGAGAGGTTCTAGGGCTTAGGGTTTGGAATCTGAATAGGGGCCTGAATAATTGGAATAGGGTTTGGGTGTATTAGAGTATATTTATAAAGAGACCATAAGGGTATATTACTACAAATGAGGGTGTTAGGCGATGTGCAGAACGTGCCTCGAATCACGCTAGGTCGCAGGTCCTAAATCAACAAGCAAATGGCCCAAAACCCGCCTTGCCTATCCATGGAAGGCAGTGCCAGATAAATTTACCCGATAACCGAAAAGCCACAGCCCCCTGAAGAACTGCACAACTCGACTCTACTGTCATGGCCCAGAGGTGGGCTTAGGGTTTAAGGAGCTTCCAGGCAGGGCCCAGTGTGCAGGAGATGTAGGCTCTGGGGTTTGGGTTTCGGGGTCAAGTCAACCAGTGGAGAGTTTAGGGTTTAGGGCTTAGGGCTTAGGGTTTAGGGTTGAGGGTTTAGGGCTTGGGGCTTAGGGCTTAGGGCTTAGAGCTTAGGGTTCAGGGTTTAGGGTTAGGGTTCCCGGACAACGAAGTGTTTCAGCTGTGGCGCAGAGATGAAGCTGCCCGATGTCTGCAGATACTTGGCGCCCACGTACTTCCCTATGGAGGCAACCTCGGCTGCAAAAGTCTTCGGGGCTTTTAGGGTTTAGGGTTTAGGGTTTAGGGTTTAAGGTTTAAGGTTTAGGGTTTAGGATTTAGGCTTTAGGGTTTAGGGTTTAGGGCTCTTTCCCTACTAAGAACCAGGGGGTTTAGGGCTTTAGGGCTTAGGTTGGGATGTTCCCCCTTATAGTAACAGCTCCTTCACAGAGATTGTAGTGCGCCCTATTCTAGTCCCTACTAAGGACTGCTAGCATCAGGGGGAACATCCCAACTTCGGGGCTTAGTGGGCATCAGGAGTCAGCTGGGGCTGAGGGTTTAGGGTTTAGGCTTTAGGCTTTAGGGTTTAGGCTTTAGGGTTTAGGGCTGAGGGCTTAGGGTTTACGGTTTAGGGTTTAGGGTTCAGGGCTTAGGGTTTAGGGCAGGATGACCTAGGCTGCCATGGCTGGACTCATGTGGCGATGGAGTCGAAAATCCATGGTTGGACGTGCACGGCTCGTGCATCGAACCCTGAGGCCACTCGACCCCATTTCGGGGCTTAGGGCTTAGGGGGTTAGGGAGCCCGAAACCCTAAACCCTAAACCCTGAACCCTAAACCCTAAACCCTAAACCCTAAACCACCCTCTGCACCTCAGGACTCAAAGCTTGCGAGGAGCGAACTTGGGCTCCGTAATCAGGTCAGGCTGAAAGCGGGAGATGATAAAGTCCCGCAGCCTGAACAAGGGTTTAGGGTTTAGGGTTTAGGGTAGAGGGTAGAGCGTAAAGGGTAGAGGGTTTAGGTTTAATTTGGGACTTGGGGGGATTCAGGAAGGGAGGGGGGGGGGGTTTGGGGTTTTTGGGGGGCGTTTGGGGAAGTTTTGCGGGGCTCTTCCATTTTTGTCTTGGGGGGGCGGGGGGTTCAGAGGTTCAATATAGGGGTCGGAATAATTACAAATAAGATTCCCTTAGGGTCCCTTTACTAGCATACTATAGTAACCCCCAAGACCCTGTTCTAAAAACCAAGACTCCTACCCCTAAACCCTAAACCCTAAACCCTAAACCCTCAACCCTAAACCCTGTAGGAAAGGTCGCGCCACCTTGGCGTCAGATGCTCTACGAGCCAGTCGTTGTCGTAGGAGGTGAGCTGGACCGGGTCCGCGGGGTGGTCGACCTCAGGCTGGCGCCCTAGGGGGGTTTAGGGTTTAGGGTTTTAGGGTTTCAGGGTTTTAAGGGGTTTAGGGTTTAGGGTTTAGGGTTTAGGGTTCAGGGTGTCTCAATGAGTGGGCGCGCTAGTGCTGAAAGCACCCAGGCGCGCGCCCCGACCTGCATAAGCCCACCCCCGCTGGCGCTCCACCCTCGCCTTAAACTCTGATCGTGCTTTTGTTATTTTCCTCTTGTCTATTGGCTGATTTAGAAGCTCGGCATCGATGCAGATCAACTACCCTAAAGGTCGCAGCCCTTAGGCATTGCAAGGGAGATGTCTATCAGTCGAGGGCTGCTGGGGGAGCCAAAAGTCAGAGGTTTGGGCTTGGGGCTGGCTGCCGCCTTCGCCCTCGGCGATGCTGCGTGCTGGGCGGGGATTTAGAAAACTTGCTTGGAAGGGTGTGAAATCAGAGGTTTGGGCTTTCGCCATGCTGATGCTGCATCTTTTATTATTTTCGTCTTTTCTAATGTTGGGCTTGGATGTCCATCATTCGAGGGCTTCTGGGAGGGCCAAAAAGTGAGAGGTTTGGGATTGGGTTGGCTGTCGCCTTCGGTTGGGACGGGCGGTTGCTGCATGATGCATCTGGAAGGCCTTGTTGGAGGCGTGGTGGTCTTGTGAGTCTTTCTAAACAGGGCCAAAAGCCCAGAGGTTTGGGCTTAGGGCTGGCTGCCGCCTTTGCCCTTAGTGATGCTGTGTCTTGGCTGGGGATCTGGATCCCTTGCTTGAAAGGGCCTCCCAGCAAGCGGCCTCAACCCAAGGCCTGCTTTTCACGCCTCCTAGGCGAAACTCACAGTTTTCCAGTAGTTCGTGCAAAAGCCGGAAGGTTTGGGCTTGGGACCGGCTGCCGCTTTCGCCCTTGGATGTTGCGTCCTGGTTGGGGATCTGGATCCTTGCAAGGGGCCTCAAGCCAAGGCTTGCTTTCAAGGAGGAGGGGCTTCAAGGCAAACGGGGGGTAGGCCAGCCCAAGCAGCAGCCTCCCAGGCAGCCCAGCAGGGCAGAAGAATCCGCCGGCTGCTCAACCGGGTCTGAGGGCCTCTGGTCGGCAGAGGCCTCCCACAGTCGCAGGCAGGGCCTTTAGGGTTTCCAAGGCAACTGCCGCCCAGGCAGGGGCCTCTCAGGCAGGGCCTCCCAGGCAGGGGCTTCCCAGGCAGGGGCCTTTTGACCTGGCTGGATTCCCCCACCAAAACCCCCGCAAAAGAACGCACCTGACACGGGGCACGGTGGGGCCACCACCCTACCCCTGTGAGCCCAGTCCGCCCTCGCCCTGCCCCACCCGACCCACGCTCACTTCCACCCTGTGCCCTTCACCTTGAGCCCTCTGTCCTCCACCCTCCCCACCCTACCCTGCCGTCCACTGCCGGCCCTCCCCTACCACCCAGTGCCGAGGCGATCCACGCCGTGTTCTTCTTTGTGGCGCGGCCGTTGCGGGTGACGACCTCGCGGCACTTGGACTCGAAGAGTGGAAGTAGTCGTCGCACGGATGACTGGGCGGCCTCGATGCCCGGCGCAAAGTCCTTGTGGACTTGCGTCACCAGGTCAGCCATCCGGCCGCGCAGGTCGCAGGCCAGGCGAAAGAGGCGCACGTGGTTTGCGGCATCTCCCTTCCAGGTCCGACCAGCTGAAAGGCAAAGCCATCGCTGCCACAACATCACGACAACACCCCTGGAAATGCCCACGGCTACCTCTCAGTAGGGGACTCTTCCCATTGCCCCGTTCAGGCCATCGTCCTCCGACAAGGCGTAGAAGCATTCTCTGACTCTGCTCAGGACCTGCCCGGCTGTCGACATGGAGCGCAGTTCTGTTGGAGGGGCAAAACAAAACTAATTTTGCTAACCTCATCTTTCTTGTTTTCCCCACCCTCGTACCGGACACGAGCAGCCAAAACAAACCTAATTTTGCTAATCTCATGTTTCTTGTTTTCGGGCACGAACAGCCCCAAAAAACAAATCGCAGTTTTGCTAACCTCATGTTTGTTGCTTTCCCAACTGGCCCGAAACACTCGGTAACAAAGAGGTAGGGGATCAAAAAATATTTATTTTGGATCAAAAAAATTTATTTCAAGGCGGATCAAAAACAAACTTATTTGGGATCAAAAAAAATTTACTGAAGGCTTCGAAGGCTTCTTGCAAGCGAAGCGGAGGCCGGAAACGCTCAGAAATGGGATCAAAAAAATTATTTGGGATCAAGAAATACGTTATTTCTAGGCGGATCAAAAAGAACTTATTTGGGATCAAAAAGCAATTTACTGAAGGCTTCAAAGGCTTCTTGCAAGCGAAGCGGAGGCCGTAAACGCTCAGAACTGCAGCAGTTCTGGCCGTTCGCAAGCTCTAAATACCGAAAAAACACAGCATTTCTGCAGGAACTACTTAAAATAGCAGCATTTCTGAGTTCCCAGAGAGGCTGCAGATATTGTATACAGCAGGAGTTCTGCGCTTTCAGAAGCTGGAAATACTGTACACTGCAGCATTTCTGAGATTCCAGAGGCTGCAAATACTGAAAATAGCAGCATGTCTGCGATTTCAGAGGCTGGAAATACTGTAAATAGCAGCATTTCTGAGTTTGCAGAGGCTGCAAATCAATGCTGGCATCTTGGCATTAGAAGTTTCCCAAAAATGCGTATACTCTGAAGCATGTATATTATGGCATATAATTGTATATTCTTGCATAGTATTGTATGACATTGTATATTCTTGCATATTATTGTATATGGTTGTACATATTGTTGAGTATTATTGTCTTGTCGTGTATTTTCTTGTATCTTTGTATAATATTTATATTGTTGCATATTTTTGAATGTTCTTGTATATTTCCAAAATTATTGTGTATTATTTTCTTTTTTTGTCGATTACTGTACATTATTGCAGATTATTCTATATTATAGTATATTATTGTATGTTATTGTATATTATTGTCTATTATTGTATATTATTGTATACTATGTTACATTATTGTATGTCATTGAAGTTTTGTGTTTTTCTATATTACTGTATATTTTTGTATATGTTCGAAAAGTATTGTTTTTCTTGTTGTATATTACTGTATATGTTTGTCTCTTATTGTCTACTGTTGTCGATTCTTGAACACTATTGTCAATTACTGAAAACTGTTGTAAGTTATTCTTGTTTTACGTGTATATTGATGCATATTCTTGTATATACTTGAAAATTGTTGTATTTTTGTGTATGATTATATATTATGCAAAAAAGTGCTCGCATCATGGGATTGGAAGGATTCACGTGCTTTGAAGCAAGCTTGCCCGGACTAAGAAAACAGCGGGGGGTTGGGGGGGGCGCAGCCCCCCCCATTTGCAAACACAACGCTCGCATCATTGGTTTGGAAAGGATATTCATATGCTTTGAAGCAAGCTTGCCCGGCTTTAAAAAACAGCGGGGTGTTTGAGGGTGAGGGGGGGCGCAGACTTTCTTTTCCTTTCCGTTCCTTTCCTTTCCTTCCTTCCCTGCTTCCCTGCTTCCCTGCTTCCTTGCTTCCTTGCTTCCTTGCTTCCTTGCTTCCTTGCTTCCTTGCTTCCTTGCTTCCTTGCTTCCTTGCTTCCTTGCTTCCTTGCTTCCTTGCTTCCTTGCTTCCTTGCTTCCTTGCTTCCTTGCTTCCTTGCTTCCTTGCTTCCTTGCTTCCTTGCTTCCTTGCTTCCTTGCTTCCTTGCTTCCTTGCTTCCTTGCTTCCTTGCTTCCTTGCTTCCTTCCCTTGCTTCCTTCCTTCCTTCCTTCCTTCCTTCCTTCCTGTCCTTCCGTACTTCCTTCCCTCCCTCCCTCCTTTTTCTCCCTCCCTCCATCCCATTTTCTCTTTCTCCGTCGGAAGAACAGAATAAATTTTTTTTTGATCCTAAATAAATTTTTCTTGATCCTAAATATTTTTTTTGATCCTAAATAAATTTTTTTTGATCCGCATCCCGTAACAAAGTGGCGGGTGGCATCCTCGCACAATCGCATGAGTGACATAAAATGACCAACAGGCCCGAAACGCTCCGCAACAAAGCGGCGTGTGGCATCCTCGTACAAGCACATGAGTGACGTAAAATGACCAACAGCCCGAAACCCGAAACGCTCCGTAACAAAGTGGTGCATGAATGTGCTTCAAACTGCAATTCGAGCGCTTGCCTCTTTTCGCTACTTCGAGCTAATCCCCAACCACCCTAGAACCAACTAGACATTGGTCCGGCTGGACCAAAAAGACCTAATTTTGTTAACCTCATGGTTTTTGTTTTCCCCCGCCCCACGCTCTCGAACAACTCAAGATGAGAAAGACTAAGTGGGCGGTGGGGTGTCGAAGCCCCCATCTGCCCCAGACCCGAGGTTTCGAGTCCAGAATGGGGGTCTGGGTCAGAAGAGGCCCTGTTGGGTTTTGTGGAGCCTTGCGTTTGGGCGCATGCCCAGCCTTTTCGTGTGCGATTGCATTGCGCGGTTGCGTTGTTATGGGACGCAGGCACAACCACCAAAGACGGGACCCTAGGATCCCTCGCAAAGGCTGACCATTGGCAAAAAAAAGTGGCCATTGGCAAAAAAGCCGTGGCCATTGGGCTTTGAAACGCGAAAATCCCATTTTGACCACCACCAACATTAATGAGGGCCGTGGCCATTGGCAACTTTCTGGCCACGGCTCTTTGCCCGTGGCCACGGCCCCCCGTAAGGTGTAAATATACATAAGAGAGGGTTTAGGGTCTAAGGTTAGGGTTTAGGGTTCAGGGTTCAGGGTTCAGGGTTTGGGGTTTAGGGTTTAGGGTTTAGGGTTTAGGGTTAGGGTTAGGGTTTAAGGCTTAGGGTTTAGGGTTTAGGGTTTAGGGTTTAGGGTTTAGGGTTTAGGGTTTCGGGTTTAGGGCTTAGGGCTTAGGGTTTAGGGTTTAGGGGCTTAGGGTTTAAGGGTTTCAGGGTTTGGGGCAATACCTGCTACCAGACATCACAACCATGTAGAGTGAACCACCGCACTCCGTAGCTTGATCAAGACTAAACACTTCAGGACTGCTGAAGCCTTGAACCATAGTCTTGATCTCCTGAGGGCATGAAAACCCTAAACCCTAAACCCTAAACCCTAAACCCCTCGACCCAGTTCCCAGACAGCCAAGGTCGCCGCCATGGATCGGCTCACGTTGCCCGTCAAGACATGGCCCTGGGGGTCCGGGTACCTGGGACCGTTTAGGGTTGAGGGTTAGGGTTTAGGGTTTACGGTTTACGGTTTAGGGTTTAGGGTTTAGGGTTTAGGGTTTAGGGTTTACGGTTTACGGTTTACGGTTTAGGGTTTATATCCGGTTTAGGGTTTAGGGTTTAAGGCTTAGGGTTTAGGGGCCTGGTGTAAGCTTCAAGTGTCCCCTGCCGCGCCACAACATGGCAGGGGAACAGGAAGCGGGAGCACACAAAGAAAGCGACTGCACATATTCCGCAACGCCGTTTCCAGTGGGTTCTATCACAGTTGATGTTTGCTTTTGTTCACGTTGCGCCGACGATGTACTAAGATGCACTGGATTCAGCGCAACTAAAAAAAAACTCTTCAATGTGGATCTGAGGCCCAACCGTTGGGTTGAGGGAATGTTGAGGGGTGCCCATAAGCAAGCCTATGCCCATAAAGCCTTGAACCCTGAGTGGAGTGATGTGGGGTTAGAATAACTCAGGCTAAGCTTTGGTAAGACCGCAGGCCAGGGAGCTCCACGTCGCCCAAGGTCCAGTCGCGGTCGTAGAGGTCTTCGATTGGCCACCGCTTGCTCGTCCCCTCCTCTCTCATATCCACTCTGCCTCTCTTCTTTCTCACAGTCTTCTCATTCTTGCCTTGGATTCCTCCGGAACGCACCCCAGGCACACACTCAACAAGTCATGCTTTGGAGGCCTCGGTGCTCGACAGTCGAAACGCGGCCGTCATCGCCTCAGCCGATCCGGCAGCCACACATGCCTGCTTGCAAGTAGTGCTGGTCGAAAGTAAAGTCACGGGGAGTGAGCTGCCGAGTTGCACGATCAGTGGCGTTGCAGCAGGCGTCGCAGAAGCTATCCACACTCACACTGAAACTGATGTCTTGACTGCGTGCGACTGTGAGGAGCTAGTCTTAAGTTTTCTGCGAAATCTGCTGGGTGGATGCATGGCCTAGCGAGGAGCTAGACTTGTCCCCTTGTCGCAGACCGAGCCAAAACAGCGCAGCAGACTCAAAAGCTCGGTCGGGCCCCTGGGCTTCGCGTTTTATAGGGTTCCGGGCTTCGGCTCAGCGAGCGAGTCTGGCACTGAACGCTTCCCCATGCAAGTTTTCGCCCCAGCTGTATGAGGGTTCCAAGTCTGGTTGAGAAGGAGGATTCGCGGGCTTGGTGCCGACTATGATCGACTATGCCAAGACGGAAATGGAATGCACATGGGCATAAGCCTCGCGCACCCAGCTCCCGCCTCAAAGCGGCTGGGACAGCTAAGGCTCCCGGGGTTTGGGGCTCGGCGCTGTATTCCAGGAATGCGGTCTGCAGAAACGCCCTCAGGCACGCACGACTCCTGCACAGGTGACCTGCACTACATTGCTGCTCGTGTAAGCCATGGTGCCCAAGCCATTCGGTGCAGGCAAAAACCAGGGAAACTGCCTCTGCAATGCGGCCGGAACAGTCCAAGGTAAGGCCCAGCGAATGACCTCAGCCGATCTGGCAGCCACGCATTCCGGATTTGGGTAAAAAACCGAACAAACGCGGGAGCCGCCGCCGAGTTGCAAGAGCAGCCGAACCGAACACGCAGCTGATCGAGTGTACAAAAACGTAGAGTAACCACCTCAGACTCTTTGAGGTTTGGGGTTCAAGGCTTACAGTTGGGCATTGAAGGTGTTTTATGCTCAAGGTTCAGGGTTCAGCGGCTGAAGGTTCTGGCGTTCTGGGTTCAGGTGCTGGTCCTGTGTGTTGAAGCCTGCTGTTCCCGGAGACCAGATGGCGAGGTCCACACGCTTCCTACGATGTCTGGTCTTGCCCAGTTGAATATTACAACAGACTCCGACGAGGAGTAAGATTTCGCACAGACTCAGCAGTTTAGCTTCTCAGAGAGAGTTCTACGAACTCGGCGCAGTTACAGTAGTTTTTGCTAAGGGTTTATATGGTCTCCTTAAACTCTAGACCCTTCGTCTTGCACCGGTTGTCCATGTGCATGGGGCACAGTCTCGTGCTTCAGTAGGCACACTGCCAAACGGCCCCTAAACCCTAAACCCTAAACCCTAAACCCTAAACCCTAAACCCTAAACCCTAAACCCTAGGTCCTGGACCAGGCTTACGACCTGAGATCGGAAGGGTTTCAGGTTTAGGGCTCCCACCCGCAGGCTTATCCTAACCTTGGGCAAGACCCCGACTTTGGGGTTTAGGGTTTAGGGTTTAGGGTCCTGGGTCTAGGGTCTACGGTGTAGGGTTTAGGGTTTAGGGCTTTGGGTAGTGTTTCTAGAACCCCTCCGGCCTGCACAGAAGCAAGCTCCTCTTCTCTTAGAACCTCAGGTGATGGGCTCTGAACGTTTAGAGCCTGCTGGTTCTAGACTGCTCCACCAAAGCTCGAAAAACTCTTCAACTCCAAGACCCTTCCAGGGTTCAAGGGGGAAATGGCAGCCAGGGACCTCGAGACGTCCGTGCCTGCCCGCACCGGAGCCACCAGCCTGTCGCCGTAGTAGGGTCGAAGTCAGCCTAGCCTATTTCTGCGCGAACCCCCCTAAACCCTAAACCCTCAACCCTAAACCCAGAACCCTAAACCCTACACCCTAAAACTTTCGATGCTACGGCTGCTTGTCTGTCTTGGCCTCGTAGCCCTGGCCATCATGTCATGTCGCAGCGGCTAGTGAATCTAAGGGCTTCGAGTTGAAAGTCCACATGCCAAGGTTGCTACTCTCGTGTGGCCACTAACGGAAGAGCCTCCTGCTATGGCCTTCACTTGCACAAATCACGGCTCGGCGCGTGGGCAGAGAGGTGGATCATGTAAGGATGAATATGAGAGAAGCGAAAAGGAAGAAATGGCATCACCGAAAACCTCTAAACCCCCAAACACCCAAACACCCTACAGCAAGTTTCTGATTTCTGAGCCCTGGGATCTCCTGAGCCCAGCAACTCTAAAACCCTTAAACCCTTAAAGCCTTAAACCCTACACCCTAAACCCTAAACCCAAACACTGAACCCTAAATCGAAACTTCCTGATTCAAGACAGGGCATCGATGTTCGGGGCTTGATTCCAGCTGAGATGCCCGAAGAGAAAACGTCGGTTTGGGAGTTTAGGATTTCGGGGTTTAGGGTTTTTTTGGAAGTTTAGGGTTGAGGGATACATTTGGAGGATTTGGGGTTTTGGGGTTCCGGATTTGGGTTTCAGGGCTGTGGGTTTGGGATCTGGGGTTCGGGGCTTCGGGTTTGGGGTCTTGTTTTTTACCCCAATCCCTAATCCCTAGTCCCTAAACCCTAAACCCTAAACCCTAAACCCTAAACCCTAAACCCTAAACCCTGAACCCTAAACCCTATCCGTTTCGGGTCAACAATTTTGAGCCCAGCGGCCGGGAAGAGCATCAGGATTGGGCCACTGCCCACGGTCGACCCAGTCGCCTTGAGGTCTCCGCCTTCAGACTTCGCTCTTCTACAACCCTACACCCTATATAAACCCTAAACCCTGCTGCTTCCGAATAGGCCCTAAACCCTAACATGCAAGGAGCACGGGCGTTTTTGCGAATGTGATTTGGGAGTATTGCGACTTCCCTTGGACCCAAACGAGTGTACTTTGCCAACTTCATAGGTCTGCTGCAAGGCTACGGGGACAATGTACGCGGACCCCTGGTCCAACGCGCACGTGAGAACCACTCCAGAATCCCCAAACGTTCATGGAACCCTGCAGGCAAGGCCTCCCTTATTTCACTGACTGTATTGTTAAGGGGCTTAGACACTAAGTGTTTACTATTGATAGCTTAACTTAGGGCCCCTATGCATCTACGAGTACCTGCCCTACACCTCAAATTTGCTAACCGCCCAACCCAACACACCCCGGCCTAGGGGTTGAAGTTTGGGCTGACAAGCGCTGAAGAACTTGAGCGCCATTTGGTGATGCACCTTCCAAAGTTTGGCAGGCGTTTCATGTGCACAGGAACGCAACCATCCCAGACCAACGCTGCATTAGAGTTCGGGGCTCAGGGTCGTGGGCTGACCCCCTCATCCCTAGGCCCTCAACCCCCTAAACCCTACGCTGCCCAAAGCACTTGCCACGCCAAGTAGCATTACCGCAGAGCTGCGGTCTATGGCATCTCCTCCGACGCTCCCAGGGTGCTCTTGGGAGCTGGGAGTGCTCTTCTCCAGTTTGACAAGTGCTCTCCTGTGTTCATAGGGTTTTAGGGTTTAGGGCTTAGGGATATGTGTTTTTGCTTGGAATTGCTTCAGAATGCTTTGGACTGTGGTGCGTCCTGGGCTTTGGTATCAAGGCTCTTGAGCCCCTGAAGCCGACCTGGGAGCCTAGCCAGGGAGTCAAAGGGAATAGGGCACTAGGTCTTCAGATCATGTCGCGTGATGCTGGAGCTTTACGAAACAAGTGGTACGGTTAAACGATGAAAAAGCCGAGAGAAGCCCGGCCTCTGTAACTTCTGCTGCCTGTGGCGACCAGTCCTCCTGATTCGGAGGAGTTAGGGTTTAGGGTTTAGGGTATCCCACGCATTCAAAAACACGAGGCACATGCTGACAAGGGTCCCCCTTTGCGGGCTCAGACGGCGAGAATCCCTTCTGCTCAGGATCCAGAGGCTCCCTAACCCCTAAACCCTAAACCCTAAACCCCAAACCCTTAACCCTAAACCCCAAACCCTAAACCCTAAACCCGCCGCGAACCCTTAAAAAGGAACTCTCCAAAAGGGGGCCTCAGGCCGCCCGACCGACTCTGCGCACTTCAGCTGCAAACGGCAGGCTTCCTGCACCAGGCAGCTTCTGCAGAGCACGAGCCTCAGAGTGAAAGCCCTTAGGGTTTAGGGCTTAGGGTTGAGGGTTGAGGGTTGAGGGTTGAGGGCTGAGGGCTGAGGGCTGAGGGCTGAGGGTTGAGGGTTGAGGGTTGAGGGTTGAGGGTTGAGGGTTGAGGGTTGAGGGTTTAGGGACCCCGAAATTGTTGAGAAGCTCCCGACATGGGAGAGGAGGGTGCCAGTTGTGCTTTGGAAAGTCCAAAGCTTCCCGCAGGGTCTTCCTAACTGAACCCAAAGACAAAGATGATTGGGAGGAGCCAGCGCACACTACAACAATCTCTTGGCTGCACTCAGAAGGGTAGCTAGAAATTAAGTTTTTAGCTGCCTTATGAAGAAAACCACTAAACCCAAAGAGACTAAAGATCTAAAGTCACAGTAAAGAACCACAGAGATCTACTCTTCGAACCGCTGGACTATTGAGCACCGGACTTGCGGACCCAACAGAAATCCAAAAGCCCTGCAACAGTCCTCTACTGTAAACCCGAAAGGCCCCTAAGAACCTCAGGAACCCCCGAAAACCCGCCGGAAGCCCCGCCGAAAGCCTCAACTTCGCCCTGCAACCACTGGCGGCCTCTACTTAAGAATCAGGGTTTAGGGTTTAGGGTTTAGGGTTTAGGGTTTAGGGTTTAGGGTTTAGGGTTGGGGTTTAGGGTTTAGCGTTTAGGGTTTAGGGTTTAGGGTTTAGGGTTTAGGGTTTAGGGTTTAGGGTTTAGGGTTTGGGGTTTGGGGTTTGGGGTTTGGGGTTTGGGGTTTGGGGTTTAGGGTTTAGGCCCAAGCTCAACAGTACATCCCCGCAAGTTAAAGCCTTCCTAACCACTGCAGCTCTGTAACCCGGAGCCCCAATGCTCTGGAGCATATCCTCGCTGTGCGCTGAAGCGACTGCGAGCCGTGCGGATCCTGGCTTCAGTGTGATAAACCCTAAACCCTAATCTCAGTGTTTGAGTTTGTGCGGTGAAAAGGTGTTTGGGGTTCAGTGCTGTTTGTCGAAGGGTTGGCGAGAGCATGCGTACTAGGCCACATTTAAGAACTAATCCCGTTCAGGGTTAAACGGACGATGCGGTTCAGCACTTTTTAGGTAGCAGCGACGCGTGTTAGAGGGAATGGTGCCGACATTTATGGGCTTTCCGTCGTCCTCACCTGAATGGAGCACACTGGGATTGAAAACAGCAGCGATTCACAGCGACAGGGGGGGCATGTCTGAAACCGAGTGTGAGAAGGTATGGAACAGATTCGGCTCCAGGGCTTCAAACGCACCCACTTGGCCTAAGCCGCGTAGCCTTTGTGCAGCGACTTCGGGCACATTAATTACATCACCGAGACATTTCTCCAGTCTCAAGGGCGATAGCCCTTCGGAACACCTGGCACAATTCCGCCATCTTTGTCAGTGCAGGCGGTCTTCCCATGGAGGTTGACGCTGTCGAACTCCCCCATGCGCTTCCAGCAGTCGCATTCGGCGGTGTTGTTCCCTGTGCTCATCCCGTCTCCGTCCTTCCACTCATGCTCCTCGCCAAAGCAGTCACCCCAGGGGCAGGTGCAGGGGGCTCCGTAGCACATGGCGTAGTAGGCGTTGCACACCTTGTGGCCGTACTTCTCTTTCGTCTCATGCGCAATCTCAATGGCATAGGTGCTCAAGGTCTTGTCTCCACTTGCTTCATCAAGCCATTGCTGAAGCTCACTCGCTGGCCCCAGCAGCATGCCGAAGTTGCCCAGCACGAGCGGGCACTCACATGTCACAACACCTGGCTTCCAGTCTACCTGGGTGGTTGTCAAAATTATGATCCCTTTTGGGGTACCCCATATATTGGGTGCCGAAAAAAAAAGGGATCCAAAAAGGGACCATAGTTTTGACAACCGCCCACCTCGTAACATTTGGGCGCAATGGCACAGAAGGCCTGGAGCTTCGGCCTCGAACCGAACTCCTTCGCCCTGGAGTCGTAATTCATGATCGGGCCAAACCCCTCATCCTCGAAGGGGCGCTTCATCTTGAAGATCCAGGTGTCCTCCGCCAGCACAGCAACCAACTTCGCAACCGCACCCTGCCTCTCACGATACCCCTCCCCACCTCTAGTACACCCAAGAATCCTCCGGGGCCCAGCGTGCCGACTGCCTTCTCAGCTTCTTAAGCTTCCGCTTCAATTCCTTCTGGCTGGGGACGGGTGGCTGCCTCACACGAGAGTGATGGCTGAACATACAACCTCATGAGGCGTTTGTGTGTCTCTGACAGTTTTTGAAAAATCTTCCATGTAGCTGCCCTGTTCAGGGGTTCCCCTACTACCCCCCTCTACCCCCCCTAGGTTCCCCCCATAGTTAAGGGCAATTTAGGGATAATGAAGCCTAATTAAGGGGGGTCCTCGAGCTCCAACCTGTCCGGCCTCTGCAACATCGCCGCGGCGCCCTTCTTCAAGCTGCCCTCGTCGGGGACGGGCCCCTGCCTCACGCGAAGGTGGTTTAGGGTTTAGGGTTTAGGGTTTAGGGTTTAGGGTTTAGGGTTTAGGGTTTAGGGTTTAGGGTTTAGGGTTTAGGGTTTAGGGTTTATGGTTTAGGGTTTAGGGTTTAGGGTCACAGGAAGGGCTTCCGAAATCTGCCCTATCGCGGCCCGGCTCGGGTCCTTCTAGCTCCATCCCCGGCCTCTGCAACATCGCCGTGGTGTCCAGCTCCTGGCGCCGTGCCTCGGGATTCTCGACACGTACTCGAAGAATCGTGATGAACCACTGTCTTGGGAAGGTTTGTGGGACCCTGCCAGATGTTCCAGTCCTTCCTACACCTGTCTGAAGGATAGCCAGCAAACTCAGAATTCACAAGGGCACGAGAGCACATGCGCTGAGAAGCTTCCGAGCTGCATCCGCCGGAGCACCAGGGCGCGGCCCGCAAGTGCCCTCCGAGATCTGACTGGGCACGTCCTCCACGGAGGAAGCAGCATCGCGGATGCGGGTTTAGAGGGTGTTGACACGTTAGATTTCACCTCATCATCCATTACAACCCCCCCTCTTTCCCGGGTTGCAGATCCTGTGACACCTACTTGCGGGACAAATCGAAAGGAAGGTCCAAAAATGAGGGTCTAAGATGTCCAAGGTGCCACTGTGCCCAGGGGTGGAGCAGTGAGGTTGATTATGGTCTACTATGCGGACTTGGGGTTGGAATCACCAAGGCACCCCAGGCATGGGTGTGGCATGCGCAGCCAACGTGCAGGACGCAAGGAGGATGAGGTGAGCCATTGGTTGAGGCATCAGTTCGGGGGAATTTGACGTGTCTTCAGAGCCAAAACGCCTGCAGCCGCAGGTCGCAACCCTGACACCGTGTAGGTGACTTGAAACACTGTGGGCATGCGATGACGTCTAATGGCGCATGCAAACAAGCACAGTTCACAACTTTACACTAGTCCGTTGCGAATGCACTGCATGCTGTGTAGTGGAAACGGGTTGAAGTTTGGGCTAACAACGGCTCAAGAACTTGAGCACCATTTGGTGATACACATTCCAAAGTTTGGCAGGCGTTTCATGCACACAGGGAACGCAACCATCCCAGACCAACGCTGCATTAGAGTTCAGGGCTCAGGGTCGTGGGCTGACCCCTTCATCCCTAGGCCCTCAAGCCCCTAAACCCGACGCTGCCTAAAGCACTTGCCACGCCAAGTAGCATTACCGCAGAGCTCCACCCTTGTTCCGCACCTGGGGCTGAGGGTTGAGGGTTGAGGGTTGAGGGTTGAGGGTTGAGGGTTGAGGGTTGAGGGTTGAGGGTTGAGGGTTGAGGGTTGAGGGTTGAGGGTTGAGGGTTTGAGGGTGTGAGGGTTTGAGGGTTGAGGGTTTGGGGTCTCCACTCCCAAACTTTACATCAGAAGAGCTGCGAGCGCCCCGCGCCACGATGGCTTGCTAAGTGAAAGCTGCGCAGGAGAACGCTCACGATCGAGCCAGCACTAGCGCAACCTCGCCCGCCATCCTGAGTTGCAGGCTTCAGGATTTCAGCACCCTAAACTACCCTAAACCCTAAACCCTAAAACCCTAACCACAAGCATGTCGAATGCCAAATTCATGACCGGGGCTCGCAGTTGCTCCAAATCTACTCTGCCGGTACCCACAAAGTCACAAGGTCCCTGTTCATGTGCTGGGGGAATGTAAGATCACACCCCGTCGGCACAAACATGTATCCTGCCAAAGTCAGGAGTCAAGACCCGGTTCAAGTTAAGATCACTCTGTAACAGGAGTCCTCCTCGAGATACGTCTGGCCCGTTGGCGATGAGGTTGTACAGACCTTGCGCAGATATGCAAGAACAAACAGTGACACACCCTCCGTCCTCACCATAGCTGAGCGTGTTCACCTGCCTTCACGGCACCTGTAGCAATCACCGAACACTCCATCTCTAGAAGACGTCATGAAGAGTGCCAGGGCCATAACATGGTTGAAGAACGATGGAAACCTAAAGGTGCCCCAAAGGTTTCCACTTTACGGCTGGAACGGAACTTTCAGCGTGAACCCTGGGCTTTCAGGACTCCAGACGTTTTCGGGAGATTAGGGCTTAGCGGTTTAGGGGTTTGCTAGGCTTCACGTGAGCTTCAAAAGAACGACAAGGCACCAACAACCACCTGAAAACGTCAAAACGCGCTCTGGGCTGAGCTTGAAGTTTCACGACAGTATGCCTACAACAAATCCCTGCCCAACGCCAACAACACAGGTCCTGAACCACCCAGAATATCTTCACCAAGGTTCACCAAGGACAACACGTAAATGCCAAGTTTGTACTGCGAGAGACATCGTTCGCTGCCCACACTTGAGCAAATCAACCAACCCTCACCCAATTGGCATTGCCTGAGAATTGTCCGGGCACAAGGCAGCCATGGCGGAGTATGGAAAGTACATCTAACTTCAGCTACGTGCTCCCGTTCCTGCGAGCTCAAAGCATATGAAGCGGGGCGCTGGTCAGCCGTCTATGTTAATCACAACACTCAATGCCGAAACTCATGGACATTCATGTAACACGGCTCAACAGCGACGAGGCCCTTTTGTGCTGGGACCTTTTCTTCCTCTGTCAACCCTGTACTTAACTGCGCTGCAGCATTATTTGGGGGCACGGGGCGGAGGCTTCGGCGAAAAATCGGGGCCAGTCTTATAATACTAGTAAAACTGATTGTAGTGTTGCACCCCTTTTGGGGGGGGGGGGGGGGGCCGGCCCTCGCTCTCAAGACAAGTTCCTCGGCTTAAAGAAGATCTGGCCCAGGGATCGGGACACTAGACAGGATTGTATTGTCAAGGGCAGAGACGGTAAGTTTATTGGACAGGACCTTGCAATAAGCCAGGGATGGAAAGCAGGATCCTTCTGAATGCAGGCTCCCAAAAAAACGCTCACCTTTGCCACTGAGCTCCTTCGAGGCGGCTCTCCATCAGGCACTGCGTATCAGCGGCTAGCCTAGAAGACCCCCTGCACAGAAAAACCCTCTTTCAGAATTGAACCACCTCCGACAGGAAGGCCACAACTGAACAAGGACTGAAATCAGAAGTTCAGAGCTTACCATGCTACTTGTCAGAAGGCCTGTCGGAGCAGATTCGCCAGAACGTTGTGGGTTGCACGTAGACGAGTTTAGGGTTTAGGGTTTAAGGTTTAGGGTTTAGGGTTTAGGGTTTAGGGTATCTGCGCAGTAGCCGAAATCGTATCTAGGGATGCCTTCCAGTCCTCCGAGCACTCGACACCCCGTCACATCTGATTGAGGCTTAAACGAACCACACATTCAGCGCCATACCGCAGACCACAAGCCCTAGAAATTCTCCTGGCAAGAGGATCTAGAGACTGGGCAACATGCCAGAAACCGATTGTGCCTGTCATGAAGTTCTCATGACTTCTCATGGACCAGAAGCCCGGTTAAGAGGGCCACATGATCCCACCGGATCCAGCCCAGGCTGCGCACCTCGACAGCGAGGCAGCCGCGCGTTATGTCTTCTGCATTGGCGGGGCCCGGCCTCCTGTTAGCAGCAAATGCCGCGCTTATCCGCTTATCTGTGCTTTGTCTTGGGGCAGACTCAACTCCAGTGCACATCTACAGGTAGTTCGCAGATTCGGACAGGGTCCCTGGCCGGAAACCCGAGACAGGGGCAAATCACAGACGTTGGATGAATGCCACAAAACCCACAACAACGATGCGACTTAGGGGATGCAGGCTGACGGGGTTCCCCTGCAGACCAAGACAGCGCAGATCCTCCCAGCACGGCCGCGCCGCGCGCAGCTTGCAGCGAGCCAGGCCGCTGCCAGCCATGGCGGAAGCCATGCTCTTATTGGCTTTGGTTCTGGGGGCTTGAGTTTTTGTGGGCACGGGAGGATTGGGTGTGTTGTGCGGACAAGCTAGCCCTGCAGGAAAAACCGGAAGAAGCCTTTAAACGACATACTTACAGTAGCAACAAAATCTCGAAACAGGGTCACGGACGGGTGAAGCGGGTGCAAGATGAGGGTGAGTTCCGACTGTGGTTCGTTTGGTGCAACAGCTGGCAGGTGCAGCTAAATCGGCAGCTATGTTCTTGGCTGAGGGACGAACGCAAATGAGGCCGGTGTAGGCATCTTCGCCGCTTCGCTTTTGGTATCTTCGCCAGCCACGAAAGTGCTCTCTGTCACATGACCTCCGTACAGCTGCGAATCATGCCATGCAAGACTGAAATTGGGATTTGGTCTCAGAGCGTACGTGGGAAAAACCTCCTTGGGAGGAAAAAAAACCCACGGCGCGAGGACTGAAGCAAAAAAGGAGTTCGTCAGAAGCCAGTGAGGATCAGTCAGGCTTCTGCAAGCCACCTATTCCATACCTGAAAATGCTGGAAATGGGTCCGCACTGGCTCCGCCCTGCAAGTATGAGAGCTGAGGTCCAGATGCCGCACACAACCCTGAAACCAGGATCTTGGCCAGTACTTCGGCGCTCAGCTCACACACTCGTGTTCGGAAGCAGATAAAGCGATTCGGCAAGATACACTTGCTTGAAAACTTCGGGAAGTAGGCAGCTTGCAATCTTCGCAGTGCCTAGGCCGGCGAATGTCCGAATGCAAGAGTGCTTCCCAAGACCGTATAAAAAGCTCATTCCCTTGAACGGAAAGTACAGTACTGAATTACCTAAAGCACAGTACTAAATTACCAAAAGCAGCCATTCTGTAGGCTGCTGCCCTCACACGACTCTGCGATGATATAAACGTGGCACGGATGCATGCTTTACAGGCGGCCTGCCCGAGTCTTCCAAACCCTAAAGCATGCAGAACACTGAACCCTGGTCACGCCTGCCCACAGTCTGTCTATCACAACAGCACAACATATCGTAAACGAGCAAGCTGCCGTTCCCCATCGGCATGGAGAGGCTTTTCTCTCCATCTACGGAAGCTGTTTGCGGCAGGGCACAAGCAAACTCGAATGCCTACGCGAGGCGCGGCCTCGAAACGGTGGCCAGCTTGCCAGCTTGCGGGTGCGATTCAGGTCGTCCGTGAGGGCTGTGCACCTAATATGTTTCTTCAGGCCTGTGCTGGTTTGCTGTTGTTTCAGGGGATAAGGGGTTCCGGGCAACCCGCGCAACGAAAAGCGTAAAACCGTAAAACGGCAAAAACGAAACCTCGATTTTACGCTTTTCCATTTTTACGCAGGACGCGTGTGGCCGGCATCTGAGGACGGAGGAAGCGCACAGGGTAAAACGGTTCAAGAAAATGTCGAAACTTTCGCTTTTACGCTTCTACGCTTTCACGCTGGACGCGCGCGGCCGAAAACTGAGGATGCAGGAAGCCCACACGGTAAAACTGCAAACACGAATTTCGAAATTGACGCTTTTACGCTTTTACGATTTTACGCTTTTACGATGGACGCGCGCGGCCGATCGCCGAGAATGCAGGAAGCGCATAAGGTAAAAAAGGGCAAAGCGAAGTTTGGAAATACACGCTTTCACGCTTTTATGCTTGCCCGCAGGCTCTGACCACATACCCAGATCCTGCGAATAAGCTCTGCAACTACAAGCCCGATCAGCTGCGCCTATCACCTCGCAAAAGTTACTCTGCTTGAGAAGAACCCTGCCTGCTCGGCTCAGAGCTTCTATGGCGAAGGCTAAAAACGCGTGTCTGCCAGGCTGACTTTGCGCCGAATCGCACCACCGCGAAGCGATGAAGATACCACTGTTTCTAGACATACCCACTTCTCCCACTTTCCCGAAGACCGAACAAAAGGTGGGGACTCCTCTTGTTGCTTTGGATCCTGCAACAGCCGAAACAAGGGGAGAAATGGTATGGCAAAGTTTCCATGGTGCCACTTGCCAGATTCAGAGAGGAGCCTGAGCCCCGATCATTGCAGCTTACACGCCTGCAAAGTAACCGCTTGCAGCCAACCAAACTGCCAGCACTACCGCACACATTATGGCCGTACAGGCACTACAGCATCTGCGGCTGGAAGATTTCCCTGCCAATCTTGAACGCAGCAGCCCAACCTGTGGCGTAGTCGCGACCACGCGCGAGTTTCAGAAAGTATGAGACCCTGATATATCAATACGACATTACATCGCAGATGATCCCCACACTCGAGCCTTGGCAGCCTTGCGCTCTCGCCACCTGCGCACACGCGCGAGATTCCTGCGAGACCCCTTATGCGAGCACACATGCGCATACGCACTGCTAAGTCCAATATAGAGTTGGACCGCTTGGCAAGCAAAGGTGCTTTGCTGTCGATCGTGCAAAGTGAAGAAGGCAGCACACACGGGCACCAACTCATCGACGCTCTGGGCACAAGCTCCCCTGTGTGCACGTGCTTAAGGCACAGCTGTGGCAACGGCAGAAATCCTTGCCCGACCTCTCCCTGATGAACTCTTCTTGGCAGCCAAAATCAGCCAAAGTCAAAGCCCTACCGGCACCATCAAAGCAGAAGCTCGGTTTTTGAACCATCCCACAAGCCCCCCAAAGGCACTCACACAGTCACGAGAGTGCCTCTCAAGATTCGCTGCACCTGACCGACGCTTTCCTGCACACCGGAACCACAGCAAGACCCGAGACGCCAGGTTTCGACCTCTGGCATGAGGGCCATCGGGCCCCTAAAGTTCAACCATGCTCATCTGCCGCCCCGGTGCCCGGTTCCTCGCCCACCCCACTCTTGCCGGAAAAAAGTGGAACCAGCGGCTTGGCTTCCCCTTCCTCATGTCTAGGGTCCGCGCCGCTCAAGTGCTCGCCGCTCACCTGCAGGAAGCGCGGCCGTTTCCCATGACCCACAGTGTGCCTTTGAATCTGACGAAGCCCGAAAGCTGGCTTGGAGCTGCGTGCATAAGGGCTCTGTGAGGGTCTGTGGTGTAAAGGAGGCCTTAGAAGGGGAAGCTCAGGGTTCGGTGAAGTCCTGCATGATTTCCGCAAGTTGAAGGGGAGTCCTGCCTCGGTGTCGGACACTGGCATTTCGACTTTGTGGGGTCCAGAGTATAGACAGGAGCTTCTCAACGTTCTCAGCTCAGGGTTGTCATCCCGTTGAGCTTGACAGAAGATTGCGCGGTCTAGTTGCAGTTTCCAAGCTGGGACGTGAAAAAGATCCTGCGGCGCAGCGTCCGCCGCCCCTTCCATATTTGTCCTGCATGGAGCCGATTAGCTGCTTGCCCCCGGGCCTGGGAAGCCAGCAAAAATGTGTTCTTTTTCCAACACTTTACATGCTTTTCCTACTCAAGACCCTGTCCGTGTGGAAAGCCGGCTAAGTAGGTGATTGCGTGCTTGAGGTGGTCTCGGGTCGAGGCATCTAGCCCAGTGACACTTTGAACTTCCCGTTGCAGCTCTCGGTGACCAGGGCAGCTGTTCCGGCACCCCCTTTTCTGGTCGATACCCGCCCAAAAATCAAATTGGAGTTTCGGTTGTTTTTCCAAAAATGAAACTTATAGGTTGGCGAC